TTTAATGGCCACAGGACTTCATCAAAGACTCAAGACTTCCTATGGCCAACGTTCTCATTGGGAATGAGTCCATGTGTGGAAGATTTGCTTGGCAGTCTCAGAATGTCCTGTAGTCACCCCTGATTGCWTATTCCTGGGGGCATCTGAAGGACCACCACCATGCCCGAGGTGTCCATGATGAACAGGAAGGTTTTCTGGGGCACCAGCTCATGGTGGAAGGCAGAGTGGGCAGAACAGGTGCCTCCTGAATCTGTGGGACTTGCTGTCAGCAGCACTGCTCGCCTCTTTAGGGGACCGGCTTTGTTTTCTCTACCTTGAGGTCTGACTCTGTGAGGCTGAGAATTTTCTTCCTAATCGAAAAGCAATTTTAAAGATGCACTTGGCGGGTGGGGGATGTGTGAGCGTTTACAGCCTCATTTATTCCTAATGAAGTAGAAGGGAAGTGGAAGCCAAGGGAGGAGGGATGGGATAAAAAAAGAACCCGGGAAAGTAGTAGAAGAACCCGAAGGAGAAGAGAGGGAGATGGTGCGCGTCCGTGGGCCTGGGCGAGGCGTCTCATTACKTGCGTAAGCGCTTGAGTGAGAACAAGTACAGAAAAGAGCAGCGCAGCTGGGCTCTGGCCCAAGCCCAGCTCCTGTGCTGCGGCTGCTCGCGGCTGTCCCTCTCTGAGTCTGAGGGGCTCAGTTTCCAGGTGTCTATGGGAGGAGCCACCTCGTGGGGCTGCTGGGAGGTCCAGGGGCATCCAGTGGGGACRTACAACGCAGGGGGCAGGGTGGCCAGGTCATCCTGAACAGGTCCCGGGGAGGGGAGGGGACTCTCTGTCAAAGATTCCGGAGTTTGGGGAGGATGCGTGGACACACGGACACACAGGCACGCCGCCTCCCGGTTTCGAACACACACGACCCTCACACTTGTACCCTTGCACATCCTTAACACACGTGCTCACCCTCACACGTCAGYGGACCTCCCGACACACCCCGCCTGTTCTACAGACTCTAAATACACACGCTCACATACCGTCTCCAAGCCCCCGATTGCACAAAAACAAACCCCCACACACCTCTCCTCGGACGCCCACATGCACAGGGACTCTCAGACCCAGATCTCCCAAGCGTACACCTTCACACTCACGTGCACATACCCCCATATTCTTTAGATGTCCCCCACACCCCCCTACACAGACCGCTCACACAGCCACACCCCCAAACCCTCCAATACTCCCTCGCGCCCATGCGCGCCTGTGCRCACCGGTGCCCGCCGTCACACTGGGCACACCCACACGCCCACACTCTGCGCACTTCAGTTAGACTGCCCCAGGTTGCCCAGCCTCCCTTCCCAGCAGAGCCCTGGCAGGAAGCAGCCTGCTCTAGCCACGTCCCTGCCAACCCCACAGCCCTGCCCCAGGCCCTGCCCACCAACGTTCAGACACAGTGACTGCCTCCACGCCTGGGCGCTCTCAGCGTCCTGCCTGGGCCCTGGCCCTCTTTCTCCCCCTGCCCTTGGCGTCAGATGGCCCCTCCTTGAACTTCACGCTCCAGAGGACAGGGACCCTTTCTCTCTGATTCATGCGCGCACCCTCCGCGCCCCGCACAGGGCTGGAGTTGAAGAAACCTTGCTGAATGACGGTGGACGGTGGGGTTGGAGATGGTCTCAGAATGGGTTCTGGGCTTGGGGTGAGGTGAGGGACAGGATGGGCCTGGAGCTGGCCCCTCTCAGCCCATTCCAGGGCCACTGGCCTCTTGCTCTCCGTGGAGCCCAGCCCCACTGAGCCCCGCACAGCCTTGCTGTTCATTGCCTCCCCGAGGCACTGATACCTGTGTGCGGGGCTCAGGTCTGTTGGGTCCAGGAGCGAGACCCCGCCCGGCAGCCCTATTTCTGCCTCCTGCCCTGGAGCCCTGGGGTTCAGCAGGGAAGAACCCAGATCTTCCCTAGATGCACAGGTCCCCTGTGACTGGACCCCRCCTGGGCCCACCCACACTGCCCTCCGATTCATCCCAGGAACTGGGCGGTGCCACTTACCCCCCGTCCTACCAGTCTCCCAGAAGGGAGGCCTGACTAGCATCCACAGCCTCCACAAGGGACGCAGAGGCTCCAGGGGGGAAGGGCTAGCGGTCAACTGCGGCCAGGGCAGCGCTAGGATCTGAACCCAGGCCCCAGATGCCACGATTCCCCTCTGGGACTGGCGCCCCCTTCTGGGCTCACTTAGCGTTTGCAGTTTATCCTCATCTGTCCTCTTGCCTCATCTGTCACCACCACAGGCAGCCCAGTGGATGACCTGAGAACCTCGCCCAGGTGTGCTTAGCCAGGCCAGGGCACCATGCTCCAGATACTGACGACCCTTCTGGTAGAGGAAGCTGGCTGGCCTGGGGGTGACACCCCCACAGCACCCCAGCCCCACAACTGAGTGGGCTGAGCTAATGATGGACACATGGCATGCTGACCAGACCTGCCCTGACCTCCGGGGGCAGTGGCGCTGACAGGTGTCCACCTGCTCAGAGCCCCACGGGTGCCGAACCCCTTCTGCCCCCGTACCCCCTTCCATTCAGACCTCTCCCCTGGAGCCTGGACGGTGTTGGCATCTAGTCGGAGCTTAGCGCACGTTTGCTGAATGGGTTCGAGAGGGGTACCTGAGTGACACCCATCTTCCTCTGACCTGCCCTTCTCAGTTCCCACCCAGGTCTCCCTCATGGCCACCTTGTTCATCACCTGCCAGATGTCCTTACGGGGCACATCCCCCTCGGCTGCTCTGACTTCATACCACAGTGCTTTGTCAGCTGCCCGGTAACCTCAGGGGGTCAGCAGGGAACCCAACCCTCCAGAGCCTGGGCAGTGGGGTGAGACCTCTCCTCAGGCTCAGCTTCGAGCCCTTCCCACAAATTTGTTTGGACCCGAATCTCTGTGCCTGCAAAGACCGAGGAGCCCTGTGCTGTCTTTGTGTTTTCCTGGCCCCTTCACGCAGGGCACACCCTCCCTGTGCCACCATACCCAGACCCGTGTGTAGAGAAGGGCACCTCTGCAGGGCTGTCCCTAGGGTTGAAAGCAGGGGCTTAGGGGTCCTGAAGGCTGTGGGGAGGTGGGCCGCTCTCCTGTCTCAGTTCTCCCAGGTGTGAAAGCAGGAAAGCTCCAGGCACGCAGCCGAGAGTCACGCAAGGTGACCAAGGTGAGCTAAGCCAGCGMCTGGTCATGGCAAACAGGAAGGAGTAGCTTCTCCTGTTTATCAATGACCCGAGCAGGCACCCCGGGCACACCGGGTGACCAATCACCAATATGACCCCGCTGCCTACTGGAAAAAGTCCAACGGTGAAGTCCATCCATCCTGTCCCCATCTGGTGCCCATGGTTCCCAGGGACCCAATCAGGACGGCCATCACTGGCTTCAGCCAAAGTCACCAATTCCGGTGGACCCTGGGGACATGCTGAGTGGTGTTGCCAAGCRAGGTCCCCATTCTTTGCTCAAAGGAACCCACAGAGAGACCTCGATGTCCCTCTGCTTGTTAAGTAGCTGGTGTCTTCTAAGCCCAAGCCCCGGGTGCCCCGATGGCGGGGGAAACAGGAAGAGGGGAYGCTTCTGGCGTCCAGGCTCCCAATGGCAGCCAGAGCAGAGCGGGGCTCAGAGGCTGCCCCATAAGTCCCGGGCGAGGGGGGACCCAGGAGYGAGGGAAGCTGTGGGGAGACCCCAGCGGCGTCTTGATGGGTCTTTTAGGAGTGAGTGGCTCAACCCGAGGTCCACTCCCATGTGTCCAGTGCTGGCCCAGGTCCCGGCCTGGAGCAGCCGTCGCTGAACTGACCGGGGGTTTCAGGCAGCAGCTGGGCTTCTGTCGGGGCTGCCCCTCCACCGGCCTCCCATCCTGATCCAGTGCCAGAGACCCGGCCAGCGTGGCCTGGGTGAGGCGGGAAAGCAGCCCAGGGACAGAGCCAGTTAAGGGACACCCGGGGGACTGTGCAGTCCGCTCAGGAGGGAGCTCGTGGGGCGCCCCCCTCGGAAACACTGACCCCCCCCACGTAGACGGAGCCGGAAGGGGCAGCCACCTACCCGCTCTGTGCCCAGGTGCTGGCCGCTGCCTGGTGGTGGCCGCGGCACCCTGCGCTGGCRCATGCGCAGAACAGACCCCTAGCCRTGCCCTGCAGGACGCGAGGCTCTCAGCCGTGGCCTTGTGTCCTCCTTGGCCCACGCAGGTGGGCAGATGCCCCACAGGCGGGTCACTGGTGGTCACTACCTCCCCCCATACCCGCCTCCACCGCAAGCACAGACCACCAGGGGCTTCCCCCTGGGGCCCTTCCACGGACACGGGACTTCTCCCAGCCAGGAGCCAAGTTCACAGCCAGCGCAGGGACCGTCCTGTGTCACTCACTCCTCTCCATGACAACCCGGCTGCCCCAAGCCTGTCCCTCAGGCAGCAGCCACCCCTCCTTTATCCCCCCTGGGGCTGACCCCCGCTGGCTGCCAGGAGGTGGCTCAGCCCTGCAGCCCTGGCCAGTCTGGGGCTGAACCAGTGGCCCCTGAAGCATCCCTGGGTCCTGGGCCAGGGCCCAGGACACGTGGCCCTGCAAAGCCTGTGGCCTCCCCCTGAGCAGTGGCCCTCAGTGCTGCAGCCTCTCTGGGCTGCTCCTCGCGGGGGTCCTCTGCCTGGCCCCAGGGGACCCCCCACAGCATGACTCTGGAGCTGGTGGCCTACAGGGACGCGACCTCAGATGCCCACACAGGGCCACGCAGACAACCGGCTCCACCGGGGACCGYGGGAGACTCAGGGCCCTGGAACCTCAGTCCTGCAGAGGCCCCTCATGGCCCACCACGTCCCCTCCAGACGCTGCGTGGGGCTGGCCCCTGCAGCTGTGTGACCTGAGAGGAAGGACACTGACCGGCTYGGGTCCCCTCCGGGGAAGGCCGGGTGCAGGGGTCAGAGATGCTGGAGGCCCTCAAAGGCCCCAGGAGGTGAGGCTGCGGGAGGAGCCCCCCGTGGCTGGCCTCCTGTYGGGGAGCAGGGCCCCCCGGGTACTCACCGGCTCCGAGAGGCCTGGCCGGGCCTGGCGCGTCCCCCTCAGCCGGTGCTGGTGCTCCCCATCTGGAGAAGCCAGCGGCACTAATCAGCCGCCTGGCGTGGTGCGGCCGAGTGACTGGGGCTTAATTGACACCAGGTGGCCCCTCCCCAGGGGCAGGCTGGGAGGCGGGAGGCCAAGCCCTGGGCAGGGGGGCCGCACCCAGCCGGTGGCTCAGGCCTCCGGGGAGACGGGGTGCTGTGCCACCGGCCGGCCCCTCCTCCGCGGCAGGCGCCCTGCTCCCTGGGCTCCCTAGGCTCTGACCTTCCTTCATTCCAGAGGCAGCAGCAGCGGCCACCTCCTGCCCAGAAGGCGGGCAGCTCAGGTTTCCCCCCAGCTGGCTGGGCAGCCTGAGGTGAGGGCACAGGTCTGCAGTGTCCTCCTCATTCCCGCTGGATCCTGACACTGGCCCACAGCCCAYGGACTTTAATTGAACAGTTACTATGTTCCAGGTCCTGCCTGGTGCCCATTGGGATCACACAGACCCCAAGAGGAGGGGATTGATGAACTCTACTTTGCAGATGGAGAGAGGCTCAGAGAAGTTAAGCTTCTTCCCCAAGGTCACACAGCCAGAGAGTCAGGACATCAGGTCAGGGATTGTCATCATCACCTGCAAAGTAGATAACAGCATCCGAATTTCTTAGATAAGAACCTTCAGGCTCAGGGGGAGGAAGCTGGTCTGAGCCAAGTAGGGGATTGGGAAGTGCCACTAGGTGTGTTGGGCCAGGTTGGCACTATTGAAACCCAGGCCTTGTCTCCTGGCCCCCCTGTGTCCCTGCTAATATTAGGGTTCTGGGTTTGAACCCAAGCTTGCAGTTTAGGAAAAAGAACACCAAGCATGGAGTCAGGAGATCTGTGAGGAGTCTGCTGTGTGCCCTTGAGGAAGTTACTCTCCCTCTCTGGGCTTGGCTTCTGCTGTAAATAATAAGTGGAATGCTATGTGGGAAGGGTCTTGTGACTGGGATTCACAGGGCGGTGTTGGGGCATGCCTAGGCGGCTTCCACTCTGCCCCAGTGGCCCTTCCCAGAGGTCCCTGCCCCTGCCCCTGGCCCTCACTGCTGGAGAGCAGGACCCGACGGTGGAGTCGGACATTGCAGAACCTTCTCGGGTCTAATCTGCAGTGAGGCTCAGGGGCTCTTCTCCGTGGGACTCGTGGGACCCCTGGCAGGCAGCTCCTGGCTCAGAGGTCACCCGGGTTCTGAGAACACACAGACCCAGCTTCCCATCCGGGTTCTGTGCTCGCCAGCTCCACGTCCTTCCAAGTGGCCCTGCCTCCCRGGTCTCCGCCTGTCATCTTTACCAGCCCTGGCCCTGCCGTCGTCATAACTGAGATGATGCCCTGCACCGGCCTCTAGGGAGCATTTATTGAGCACCTACTGTGTGTGGATTAGGGGACCAGGAATACCATGATGGACAAAATCGTCCCTCACACCTTGTGGTGGAGACAGACAGACAGACAGACACACCCCCCCAAGTCTGCGGCCCCGTCCACTTGGGAGCACCAGGTGTCAGTAATCCGCGGTGACAGCAGRTAGCAATAATGATCCTTCCAGCACTGTCTTCAGGGGGGACAGGCCTCCCCCGACGTGGTGTGTCCTGGTTTCTTCATGGGTAGAAGGACRCGCCCATCCGCCGTGGTCTGTCCCTGGGGGAACTCCGACGTGGAGCGTGGGATTCCAGAATGTTCTTAGGTCTAATCCTCAGTGAGGCTCACGGCTCCTTTTGGCCCGTCTCGCGGGCTCCCTGGCAGGCGGCTGGCGCCCAGCGCAGGTCCAGGCCCCACGTGGGTGGGAGGCTGAGCCGTGAGTCAGCGGGCAGCTGGCTGCTGTCAACGCCCAGCGCCCGGAGCCAGGCCTGGGGCAGGTGCCTGGGCACTGATCGCGGCTTCGGAATGACAAGGGGTGCCTGGTGCTGAGCTCAGGGGACCGCACCCTGGGATTGCTGGTGGGCGTCACCGAGAATGCTCTAGAATAGTCCAAGAATCATGGAGAAGGTTGCCTTGGAAGGAACAGGGCCCCAGGGGTCTCAGAGTCCCATGGGGCTACTCTGAAGGGAGACCCAGAAATCAGGAGAGAATTCAAAACCTGCAGCTGCTCCTGCCCCCTCCTGGCCTCATTTTGRCCTCTCTTCTCCTGGAAGCTTTTCCTGGTCCGTTCCCCAACCCAGGCAGGTGCTTGCCCCAGCCCCCAGGCCCGGCCTTCCTCCCCCCAGCACCCGGCCGCCTGCCCGCCCAGCCCCCCCAGCCTGAGCTCTGCTTCCCACGATCCTGGCCACGGGGCCCCGGGCACCGTGTATGTCCCACATTGATAAATGGACCCGTGGGAAGTGTGACTCTCCCTGTTCTGGCTTCAAGCATCAAGACTTGAGCAACCACAGGTGGCCCCGCCAAGGTATCCTCCCCTTCTCCATCCTGCAAACGTTTCCTGAGCACCTACWACGTGCCAGGCAGTGTCCTGGGCACCGGGGAGACAGCACAATCCTGTCTCCATGAAGTCTGTGATCTCATGATTGTCGGCTTGACGGCGATGTGATTTTCAAGGTGTTACTTGTTAATAACAGTAGTAGCCGCGGGGTGTCGAGTGGCACCTCTATGCGCCACCCACTGGAGGCCAGTAGACCCTCCCCCACTCAGCKGGATGTCCCCACAATGTCTCTAGACATTGCAGCAGGTCCCCGGTAACAAATCACAGTGGCGTATTTAAGCACCTTTATTTACTTGATTTATTTTATTTACTTGATTTATTGATTGATTTATATATTTACTCATTTACTTGATTTATTCGAGAACGATTCCAGGAGGCAGCAAAGCCCAGAGARGTAGAGCAATGTGCTCAAGGTCACACAGCAAGCTCTCGAGGGAGAGCTGCTATTTGCATTTCATGGAGGAGAACATAGAGAAGCCCAG